AGTAGGAGATGTGCAGGAGGCGGCTGATCGATGTCTCTCTCTCATCGATGTTTCTAACTCTCTATCTCTCTCCCTTCCTCTCTGTAAAAAATCAATAAAATATATTTAAAAAAAATAAAATAAAAAATCCTGGCTACTTTGCGGGAACAGATTGGAAAGGGGCGTAAACTAGACTGATGTGTGTGGAGATGGTGGGAAGTAGATAGAATTTAGAGAATCGCGGCAGGTAGCATAGAAAGAACTTGATAAGGTTCTGGGTAAGGGAGTGGATAGTATGGTGGCTGACTCCCAGGACTCTGACTTGAGCAAATGGATGGAAGGGATGCTATTAATTAAGATGGTGATAGAATAGAGGAGGAGTACTTTGGGGGCAGGAGGAAACCAAGGGTTCAGTTTGGGACATGGTACATTTGAGAGGCCTGCAAAATAGCCGAGGAAAAGAAAAACCTTGAATGCATTTGCAAAATGAGTTCGGAAAGGAGGTCAGGGCTGAGTTATGGCTGTGGGTGTCGTTGGCACATGGATGCATCTGAAGCCACGGGAGTGGGTGAGGTCACACAGGAGCGAGGGTAGAGCGAAACAGGAAAACGCTTCAGGACGAGCTCTGAGACACACCAGGCCTTCACAGGATCTGGTAGAGGATGCGGAGCTGACAAATGAGCCTGAGCAGGAACGGCTAAAGGCGGTTCATTTACTAGGAAAAGAAAATCACATTTCATGATCACAGACCACACAGTCCTGGCCAAGAGCTCCCAGCCGCAACCCCCAGTTGGCTCCAAGGAAGCCTCCACTAACGGGAGAAAATAAATTAGCTGCAGGCACGTCTTCCCTGCAAAGGGGGAGGAAGAGCTTCATTCTTATTTTGAGGGGTGACTGCAGAACAAAACCGAGCGTGAAGCTACTGCCGTGTTTCTAGAGTGGGGTTTGAAGTTCCTGAGATGGAGTGTGAGAGCCTCAGAGATCAACTTCTCTGTCCTGCTTCAGACGTGGTTACCAGTAAATGAGGACCAATCTTGCTTAACTGGCAGCAGCCTTGCCTTTTATGCTTTCTCTTGTGGGAAGTGAAAGTGCTGCACCACAGAGTTTCTGTTTGGTCTCTGTGTTTGAAATTAAATGGGATATTTAGATTTAATAAGAAAAGTAGCCTAGACGCGGGGCAGACTTGCAGCCCAGCCTTGGAAAAAGGAGCACAGAGGCATCTAGGACCACACTCAGCCAGCTTCAGTTATTTCGCCATGTGTGTGTGACGGTACTCCGTCTAGTAGGCATTGCAGTGAATCCCAGATGGGATGAATACCTGAAATCCTAAGTTAGTTACTGTGTATTTGAAAATTTGGGGGTATCCCTTTCTGTATAAATCAGGTTTATTTACTTGTTGAGGTCCATATCATAAGTTCAGTAATGGAAGATAGTCCCTGGTCTTAATATGGTAATATTAATTTCTAAGCAAAGTATTGACGACATAGCTGAAGGTATAAAATACTTGACTTGCAGCCCTGGCCAGCATGGCTCAGTTGGTTGGGTGTCATCCCGTGCACCGAAAGACTGCTGATGCCATTCCCATTTCTTTAGCTATTGGTTCTTAGGTGTGAGTAACCTATAGGCTCTTTTGCAAAACCACTGAAGAATAGGAATAGAAATGGACCACTTGCTTAAATGCTGAAAGCATAAAAAAGTTTGGAAACCTTCACAAAGTTGCCTGTTTCTCGTGCTTTTTCACTTTCCTTTTCTTTCTCAAAATATATTTCATTTCTTCTTCTGCAGTTTCAGTTCGGTTTTCAGAAGTTTAAATATCAACATTTGTTTGAGGGTACGACTTCTAGTCCAATCAAGCTCTTCTTTCACAGTGTGTGGCCCTGCATATTCAGGAATGATGTTCTGGTCTCAGGGAACCAGTGTGCGGCTGCCTGTACTATATACCATGAGCTACTTTGGCCCAAAGTTCAAATCCAACACGGCAGTTCCACACTGAGGGAGTCACTCCTGATACGTGCTCCCAGCCTGGATTCGGGAGCAGCAGTTTTCTAATGTTGCTGGCCTGTCCAAACTAGACGTAATTTTATACCATTAATGTTCTGACTCATTCTTCATAATCTGTCTTTTTAAGCCTTTTATCTTTCATTACTGGATGAGTGCTTTCCAATACCCAGACCTAGACCTATACATGGGCATATGTGGAGAGAACAGCTGCTCCTGGACCCAAAGGTGGAGCAGTGACCCTGAGCTCTACAGCTCTGAGGACCAGGCCAAAGGGAGAAAGCACAGCTGTAGTGGAGCCGCATGCACAGAGTGGGGGGTGGGGATGGGGATTGGAGAGAAACTAAACTTCGTTTGGAATAAACATTGCTTGAACATTTTCACTGGTTGGCTGTAAGCTAGAAACATCACATAGTGTCTCATTAATATTTAACACATACAACTATTATAATATGTACCTTAAACCTCTGTCAAATTAAGTTATGATAATTCGAGAGGTAAACTCTAAGACTCAGCTTTTTCAGAGTATATTGTTCATGTAGCACATATTATTGCTCATACAGTATTATTATTTTCTGAAAACATAGAAAAGTGTAAAGGGAGCAGTGGCCGTTCATCAGAAATGGCAAGTGACAATAAGCTCCCCAATGAATTTTTTTTCCCAATACTCAGCTTCTGGGACTTGAAATTCAGGGTGGTTAGGATGGCCAAACTGGTAGGTATAGACCAGTGTCTTGGGAAATTTGACTTTTTACAAGTGGATTGTAACACTGGACTCTCCTTTGGATTTGCTTCCATGATTTTGCCATTTTACTCAGTATCATAGCTTTGTCATCTGTTCCTCTTACATTTAAATGAGTTCCTTTAAATTATTCTTGGTAACTGTTTCCCAGAGGACACTTGTGGAGTTGATTTTATATTTTTGATGTCTTTCTTATCAAATGAAGCTGGAGAAAAATTGCACAAAACCTTACTCCCTCCTGAGACATACTCTTTTTATAATTGGAAAATGTTATTTTTAAGAAAGTTGAACCCTTTAACTTCTAAGCAAAGCATTGACGACATAGCAGAAGGTATAAAATACTTGATAGCCGCCCTGGCCAGTGTGACTCAGTTGGTTGGATGTCATCCCATGTACCGAAAGATTGCTGATTCCATTCCCAGTTAGGGCACCTGCCCAGGTTACAGGCTCTATCCCGGGTAGGGGGCCTGCAGGAAACAGCTGATTGATGTTACCCTATCATATTGATGTTTCTCTCTCTCCCTCCCCCATCTCTCCTCTAAAAATCAGTATTAAAAAAAATACTTGAATTGCCAAAGACTTTAAAGATTATGCACAACAGATTAGAACCTAATGTCCAGAAATATAGGGACATTTTTTTTAGCTCTTTTCTAAACAGAAACTAATATCATGAGATGGGAGGCATATCGTACATATAGTGGGAAAATGAGAAGGAAAATGCACCGTTGTATCTGTTTTTAATTTGCTCTGTCACTGATACTGATCTGTTATCCCCCACCCTTTGTTTTTTAGTGGCCACAGATGTCTTTAATTCCAAAAACCTGGCCGTTCAGGCACAAAAGAAGATCTTGGGTAAAATGGTATCCAAATCCATCGCTACCACCTTAATCGATGACACGAGCAGCGAAGTGCTAGATGAGCTGTACCGGGTGACCAGGGAGTACACCCAGAATAAGAAGGAGGCCGAGAAGATCATCAAAAACCTCATCAAAACAGTCCTCAAGTTGGCCATTCTGTACAGGAATAATCAGTTCAATCAAGATGAGCTAGCGCTGATGGAGAAATTTAAGAAGAAAGTTCATCAGCTTGCGATGACCGTGGTCAGTTTCCATCAGGTGGACTACACCTTTGACCGGAACGTGCTGTCCAGGCTGCTGAACGAATGCAGAGAGTTGCTGCACCAGATCATTCAGCGCCACCTCACCGCCAAGTCGCACGGACGGATTAATAATGTCTTTGATCACTTTTCAGATTGTGATTTTCTGGCTGCCTTGTATAATCCCTTTGGGAATTTTAAACCCCACTTAAAAAAACTTTGTGACGGCGTCAACAAAATGTTGGATGAAGAGAACATATGAGCATGTGAATTAAGATGGTGACTGCTCCTGATTTATCTGAAGATGGAGCACTGTTGGTTTATGAAGGAAAGAAGAGTTTTTTTGAAGAGTAAACATATTTCAGAAAGACTTTGCCCAATCCAAGTGTCAGACATTAATGACAATGTCTTGTGAAGCTCATTTTATTTGAAGAAAAGCATATTGCCAAAAGTTGTTAAATGCTTCTAAGGGTTAACAGAACCTGGGAAAGATGTGTGGTTGTTTAACGCAAATGTCAAGTTACACAGAGAAAAATATATGTGGCTCCAAACCTCCACACCTTTTTTAGGGCAGTTGTTGTGTTGGCAGCACATTGGATATTTCTAACATGTACAGAATTACGTGTTTTGATTCACTTTTATTCCTTACTATGTATATATACCTCTTTTAAAAAGCCAAGAACTTTCCCTTGCTGTCATTTCTCCGTTTGAAACCATTCCATTTTCAACTCTACCTTTGTTGAACATTCTTTTGCTAAATACTTTTGTCATTGACATTCAAGAATTGTCTTTATTAAGACATTAAAGAATTAAGGTAGTCAAATTGGAACCCTCAGAGAAATAGAAAACTGCTTCTCTATTATAGAAAACAACTGTATTTGAGGTTATGAATAATGTTTAATATCAGATATGCTTCTGGAGGTGAGTCCTGGTTTTTAGGACCAACCTGACACTTCCCCAAACATGATTAATTCCCCAGAACGGAATGGCATGCCTTTGCTTTGAAATGCTTGCTGAGGGCTTAGCTTTCATGTTACCTTGAAAATGTGCTGATGGAATCTCCATTTTTAATATTCATTTCAAATGTAAGAGACAAAGAAAACTCTAGATTGTTCTTGATATTAGGGCAATAAAAAGTACGTGATATTAAAACAATCTTCCTTTTAGAGATGAGCCCATCAAAATAATTTAGGGGAATGAGAGGCAAAAGGGAAGAAAGGATATTACCACAGAACATGAGAATGAAAATGAATGCATTTCAATGTTTAGTAAGGTTTGATAGGTAAATAAAGAATGCCACTTTTTTATTTAACTGAAAAGGTTTTTGCTATTTTTTTATTTGCTATTGTGTTAAGTAAACCAGAGTATTTGCATTTCGAGCAGTTTGCATGTTGTTTCTGTATATTTTTTTGTGTGTAAATGATAAAGTAAACATTTGCTTATTATGTAAAAAAGAAAGGAAGCCTGTAGGCCAACAGTATCACCTAGGAAATAACAGGCAACCACCAGCACTAAACATTTGCATTGTCATCATGTCTGTGACTTAGTGTACTCCTGCCTTGAATTTGACTGCCTCCTAGAATAGTGACATTCAAATAATAGTTCCCTGGGAAAGGGCCTACAACTAAAACATCCACAGATTTGAATCTGCGTTAACCCACTACCCCCTAGAGAAGGTAGCCAGCTTCCCTGGGACCCTCATGTGCCTGTCTAAGACAAGCAGCAGAGGCAAAGAGTATCTCCCTGTTCGATACTAAATCCTGACATAAAGATTTGAACTTAAATTACTCTCCTTACTTCCTAGAGCTAGTAGGTGACTCCTATATGTTATAGAAATAGCATAGTGACTGCAGAAATGACCCTTCTAGCTTCATGTTCTGTGGAGTAGCTCATAAATTTAGCTCAGCAGCCTTCCTTGACCAGCTCTTCTTTCCTCACTTGAGAAAGCTGATGTGATCTGTGGGAGCTCCTGATTTAGTGCATTCTGTCCTCTAAGACCTCCCTCAGCAAGTGTGGAAAATGGAGTGCTCCGGCAGATGGTGTGTGCTTCTTACTCTTCTCTAGCTACGGAGAGGACCACAGAGAGAGAGGACCTAGGGCAGTGGCCGGCAAACTACGGCTTGCGAGCCACATGCGGCTCTTTGGCCCCTTGAGTGTGGCTCTTCCTAAGCCTTAGGAGTACCCTAATTAAGTTAATAACAATGTACCTACCTATATAGTTTAAGTTTAAAAAATTTGGCTCTCAAAAGAAATTTCAATCGTTGTACTGTTGATATTTGGCTCTGTTGACTAATGAGTTTGCCGACCACTGACCTAGGGATACGTTTAGATCAGTCTGGACACATCCATCTTAGAGTTGTGCCTGCAGGTATAGCACTACTCCTAATCTCACACAGAAGAAAGGTAGTGAGGAGTATCCTGAAGGAGGGAAAACTGTTTGTTGTTATCTCTCAGCTTCATCTTCTAGAAGGAACTCATCTCCTTACCAACCCTGTGCCTGGGAGGCATGCCCTAAGGATCAGTTATAAAGTCTTGATCAGCAAGTTCATCTTTGATGCAACAGGACTCTGTTTGTGCATGAATTTAGTTGTGAGGTGGGAAGGAGGGTGGAGTGGGGGTGGTTAAAGCTAGAAAGAATCCAAATGTATTTAGGATAGATAATTCTGAGCCAAGCAATAGTCATTTTGGGGGTCTTATGAAAGTTTTTTAAAGATTGAGTCTTTTTACATTTTGGAAAAGCTTATGAATTGTGTTGTAATTGCTTTTTAAATTTTAGTGCTGATGGCTTCTCTGCAAAATTATGAGTTAATCTAGTAGATGAGTGATAATACTAGTATTTTTTAAAAATATTTTTTTATTGATTTCAGAGAGGAAGAGAGAGATAGAAACATCAACGATGAGAAAGAATCATTGATTGGCTGCCTCTTACATGCCTCCCAATGGGGATGGAGCCCACACCCAGGCATGTGCCCTGACCCAGAATGAAACCATAACCGCCTGGTTCATAAGTCAGTGTTCAACCACTGAGCCACGCCAGCCAGGGATTATACTAGTTTTAACAATTGACATTAACTCACTTAATCCCTGCTACAACCTTCACCATTTTACAGATGAGGACACTAGGGCAAGAGAAGTTAAGGAATTTGCCGAAGGTCACATAGGTATTAAGTATCAAAACCATAATATCAATAACACTGTATTTTCCTTTAAAGATAGAATGGATAAAGGCAATTTTAGAAACACCATTGGTTCAGAGAAGAGTGGGCAGTGTGCTTCTAAAGTGGTTTTCACATAACGACATTTCAGATGATATTTAAATTCCACAGGGCTGCCCTAGTCTCAGGTCTGGGTGTAATTTATACAAAGACATTTTATGAAACTTTCAACATGGCTCCTCACTTGTGGGCATCTCATGGCTCAGATTTCTGTTCCTTCTGGAACTTAAACTCAAGGTGCTCACAATTAATGATGACTTTGAGCGTTGACACATGAGGTACCCCAGCCCCCAGGTGGTTTTCAGTGGACACAGTGCTCTGTGTGCACACACCCAGAAAGGAAGCAACAGCTCACCATTTTGTCCCCAGAAAAGGTATAACGCCAGTTTGCAACTTTATGATTTTCCAGGTTTCCAGTTTGGAAATACCTGAACAAGTAAGTTTAAAGATAACCTTGTGTTTTTCTGATTAATAGATCTTTCATATACAACTCAAAATTAATTTTAAAAAAGCAAATGTCAGTGGCTTTAACACAGAAATAATGTATTATATAACAATATCTCATTCATAATTATCTGGAAAGTTTTTTTCTCCCACTATATAAATAAATACTTACATAAACATAAAGGTTAAATGTAATGATGGATTTTTTTTTCCTCCACAAGCATTTTTTGGGTCTACATTTCAAGTTAATTGCATTAAATTTATCCTCAAGATAGTTAATGAGAGCACATTAAGCTAAGTTATAATTTAGCATATCAATCTTGAGAGGAAATAAATAAAAGATGAATGTGTCTATCCATATGATGAAATATTTGTTGTAAAAAGTTAAATGCTATTTGATTGCTAGGAAATTAAAATATTCTAATAAAACAAACTTAATTAGCAAGTTAATAGGATTTATAATATTTTTAGCCAATCTTGCATTTCCAAACTTGTATTATCTAAATTAATTGAACCTTTCAGTGTTTGAAAAATTACTGGTTTACTTGATATATTGTATTCCTGGGCATTAAGCTTCTGTGTAATTTGTTAAGCTCAAAGCAGGTTTTAACACTCAGTGCTGTTTATGACAGGTAACATTTTATCCTAGCTCTGAAATAATTTTCTTACTGTGATTCAGATAAAGTCTTTTAGAAATACCTAATGAAAACACTGAGGCACTAAGCAGAAAAAAAAAAATGAGTCAACTTTTTGTTTCTAAAGTGGGACAGAAAAATCTTCAGGAGCTCATAATCACATATCACTAGGATGGCAAAACTATTGAAAATCCATTTTCTCTTTTATTGAGGTGTCCTCATGATTAGTTATATAGGCCCAGAGCCAGAAAGACACTTTTATTTTGGGGAATTTCCCAAAATGGAAACATTTTCCCGTAATATTGATTTATGTCTGTCTAGCCAAAGATGTGTTTTCCATCCAGCAATGAACATGGGTCCCAAGCTACAGGGGACAACTCACTCCGAGTCAGCCCATCGGCTGAGCCCTGAAAAAGGATATGTACAAGCCAGCCAGCGTTCACAGTTAAGAGAAAAACATCTGTGCTTTGGAAAATGTTCTGCAAGCACAGAGAATGGTGCTCTGTGTCCACCTAATTTCCAGTGGATCTTCATAAGATGAGCCAGCCAATGGATAAGGCCCCTCCTCTTCCTGCATGGGTGGCTGAGGAAATTCCCTGCCCTCCCCACCGACAGCTGCATAACTATATTTCTGCCTCATGGGGTTTGTCCTTAACACAAGAAAAGAATATTTTATTTTAAGAAGTATGTGTTTTGATTTGCAGAGTGATCTAAGACAACATGCTTCTCTGTACTTTAGTTTTTCCACTTAAAAGCTTACAGATAAAGTCATTTAAAACTGCCTGATGTGAGATAATGAATATAGGCATTCATACCTAGATTGTCACCATTATCTGAGATGACCGATGTTTTATAAGAAATCAAGGTTACATTTTCCTGGAAATGGACTCTTATCAGCCCAGCAAGAGCCACTAGGCACCCATCTGCAGTGACTGTCAGCATCTTTTGCTGCTAAGACCAATTGTTTTCACTAAAGGAGAAATACCTGCCAAGCAAAGTATACATTTATAAAAGGTACTAAATGTCTTGGACAAGGACTTGCTGATAATTAGATAAAAGTGCCAGCATTATTGCTGTTCCCTTATCACAGCGATTTTCAACCTTTTTCATCCCATGGCACACAGAATCTAATTACCAAAATTCTGCAGCACACCGAAAAATATATTTTTTTGCCGATCTGACAAAAAAATAGGTATAACTTTAATTCATTCACACCGGACAGCTATTGTGTTGTCATTTTTTTAGTGGACAATCCAAGGGAAAAGAAGTCAGGTGTTGCATGTTTTGAAAGTTCTTACGGCACACCGCTTGACAAGCGCTGCCATATCTTACCAGCTTTGTGTTCTCATAACTAAGGAGTCCCATTCTCGGCTTGCTGAAATAGTCACCGGAAACATTCCATATATTTTCAAACACCAAGTGCAGGAGTTTGTGATCTCTTCTGCCTGGGGACTCCCTGGAGGGTGGCCAGGTAGAACCTAGCAGGGTACACCGGGCATGTGCCTGGGCCTTTTCCAGGGTTCCTGGCTCCTTGTCTGCCTGAGAGCCTTCTCACCTTATCTCTCAAGTTTGGATAAAATCACTTACTTCATATTCTCATTTTTTTGGATAAATTAAGCAAAACATGGAAGGCTTTGCAAACTCCTGAAGACTATTCCCGTGTAAGGTATTATTTACTAAGCAAAGAAAGTAAGCCTAAAATAACAGATTTCTGCAGCCCAAGAGAATTTTATTAAATCCCAGTCTCCTTAAAAAATTGATTTTTGCTTTCAATTTATAATGAACACCTATTATGTGTCCATCACTAGGCTGGGCCTGGGAGCTACACAGAAACACCTCGTTCCTATCCTTGAGGAGTTTGCTCATGTGGGGACAGACTAGGCCACAGGTAAGTTAGTATTAAATTGGGATTCCCTGGATGAGGAGGGTCCCAAGAAAGGCTTTGTTAGCCTCGAATACACTTTCTGGCTTTAACATGTTCACAGTTTTTTTGAGTTTTCAATTCATGCTTTAAAAGCAATGAGCTCAAAGTAGTGGCAGACTTCTTTTCAAAATCAACGGCAAGTACGTGTGTGTGTGTGTG